TGGCAGAAGGCCCACCCGCCAATGGTCGGGCAGATGATGCGGGGGACGTGAAGCAGGCCGGAGCCCACTGAGAGGAGGGAGCGGGCAGGATTGTAAGGGGTTAGGAGGTCACAGAAGTAGGAGGGAGCAAGACCATGGAGGACTTTGAAGGTGAGGACCAGGATCTTTAACTGTATCCTCTATGTGATGGGAGCCAGCGGAGTCGGGCAAGGATGGAGGTGATAAGGTCAAGGAGCCTGGTGCGGGAGAGGACATGGGCTGCAGAGTTCTGGATGATCTGCAGCCTATGGAGAGAGGAGTTGGGGAGGCCGACAAGCAATGAGTTTGCATAGTCAAGCCTCAATGTTATGAATGCATGTATGAGGGTTTCAGCGACCTGCGGTGTGAGACAGTGGCGAAGCTGGGCCATCCTACAGAGATGGGGGAAAGCAGACCAGGTCATGGCACGGTTGTGGGGTAAAGTAAAGGGCAGTGCTGAAATACATAGGGAGAAAGTCTATTGGGTCTAAATTTACTCTATTATGCAGCATTTCATAGCACCCAAAATGTGGTAACCTGTTCAAGCAACTGCCTCTTGGAACAGCCCGGACAGACGAGTTTGCACACTAATGAACGCTTACTCAGAGGCCATCCTTATACAAAGGCCACTTTGGCGCAGTCCCCTGAGTGGTTGTTGAAGACAAGTTTGACTGTAGAGCTTCAATTTTGAAACTTTGTTTTACGGAAAACCAACTTCAAAATTAAGACTGAATTTAACAATTTTCCAAATTCTGGATGTTCTAAAACGTTATATAAACAGAATAAATCCCAACACCAATAACCTTTCAAATCATTTATTCGCTTTTTGATGCAGCACCATTTATTCTTGTTTCTGATGGGTGGATAAAAACATTTACTAAAATGATTGTTACCAAGTACATTTCCCTTTTTATTGAATTGAGTATTCCCGATGTAACATTATAGGATCTTAGGAATGTAAAGGACCAGAAAAGAGATTTGTTATCCACTTTGTGGAGTCCTGTAGCTCAGTGGTTAGAGCACTCGCTTGCAAGTGAGAGACCTGAGTTCAATTCCAGGCACAGGGCGAAACCTTGGGCAAGTTTCCTTACTTCACACGCCTAATAATAATCCTTCAAAAAAAAAATTGGTCATTTTCAATTGGCTGCCGCGTTCGCCCACAAATATACAGTCAATTCACTTTACAGTATATTCTGTGAAGCACTTTGGGACGTCTAGAAGACATGAAAAGTGCTATATCAAATGCAAGGATTATTATTATTAATATAGCTAGACCTAGTAAAACAAATAATCCTTCATTGTCTTCCCTCATACCCAGCAGTCCACTTTTTTTGCGAATAGTTTGATTTTCTCTTGAATTTTCTGACATATTTTGCCTCTACCAACAACCAATTACATTTGTATGGCACCTTTCACATTGCAGGGACATCCCAAGGCACTGGACAGTCACTTCCCTGGGTGAGATTATTATTATTTAGTATATAGTAGCTCTTGCATATGTGGAAATACTGGGGAACAGAAGTTTCAAATGTTTCTGCCGAATTAGACCACTAAGTGACACAAAATCCATTCTCCATAATTTTTCAGAATAAGACCTTTTCATTTAAGATAAAAAAACACAATATGCATTAAAAGTACAGCAAAATGCATTTTGTGAATTGTTTATTCCCCAAGCTTTCAAATCACTATTTTAATATTTTAATCAATAAATCTTTGCCTTATTCAGTTTAACTGTTTAACATTTAAACTATATTTGAAATTGTAGCTATTGGGTAAAAATTGGACTTGCCAACCTGTGGAATATTGGCTTAACTGGTAACCTGTGAACTGACACTCCCAATACATGAGGCTAATTGATCAAATCCAATGGATCTTGGAGCCCAACCAATGTGGGGTGCGGGCAAATTCATAGACTGTCTTTAATTATCAACTTACCTTAATGACCATAAACTCTGAAACACTATTCCTCTGTCCCTCTGTCTAGCCCCTCCTTCCCAATCTTCAGGTCGCCCCTGAAGATCTTCCTCTTCGACCTTGCACTTGGTCACCTTCCCCTGTCTCGGCATCATATTCCACCACTGTCAAACACTCTGGGATGCTATCCGGCTATATAAATGCGAGTTGTTGTTGTTGTGTGATAATTATATCTATAGGAACATAGGAACAGGCCATTCAGCCCCTCAAGCCTGTTCAGCCATTCTATTAAATGTACCTAAATAATGCCTTCTATTAAATGTACCTATTAAATAAGCTAATCTGTACCTCAACTCCAATACCCACCTTTGCCCCATCCCTTGATACTCATACCTACCACAAATCTATCCGCCTCAGTTTTGAAAATTAGATTTTTTTAATTAGCATATCACAAGTTGCACCCTAGAAATAAACCTAAAACAGTTAATAAAACAAATCCAAATGTTAAATAACATTATTTTAATAACATTATGTTAACAATCCAAATGTTAAATAACATACCAGTTGGATCTGTTATCTCACAGGAATTTGCAACTAGTGTAAGTTGGCAGATTCACACAATTACTCCAACATGTGAATGAATCCACCATAGCAAAGCCTCACAGTAGGAACAGCAGAGTCAACAATCTACAACAATTGAAAATAAAAAGGTTTGCAGATGTAACAAGCTGATGGGACAGGATTATTTTTGCTGAATAAATGAAATTAAACACAATGAGGCATGGTGCATTTTAGGTATCTCTAAATTAAGTGAAATAAAGAAAGAAACCAAAGATTTGAAACAAATTGAATAGAAACAAGTAAGTTTTTTTTAAATAATATGTAAATGAAAGTGTAGAGAATTTGCTACATTCACTGTACAATAGAACTCCATTGTAAACGATCCCCTTGTAACACTGCACATTCACAATACATGGCAGTGACATCAGCAATTCTCCATCATTTCTTTTTTTGCTTTCACATTTTGATAATTATTTATTTGTCTCTTTCTGGTGTTCGTTGGGATTAGAAACAAGTGAATAACTGAGCCATTTGAAGTTATTTCTGCCAGAAAAGTCAGTCCTTCAAGAAAATTAATTACATCTTGATCCTATCTAAACTGGGATTAAGGTAAAATTGATGAACGATAACAATGCTTGCATTTATATAGTGCCCTTCACATGGAATAGCATCTCAGAGTGCTGCACAAGGGGGAGGGGGGTGTCGACATTGAGAGAGGGAGAATGGTGAGGGGGGGGGTGACTATAGGCACGGTCAAGAAGTAAATCTTAAAAAATGGGATTTAGATAAAGAGGGTGTGAGGTTAGAAGGATTAAGACAGAATTCCAGAGGTTAATAATAAATAATAATAATCTTTGCTTTGGATGTAGCACCTTATCACCTCTTCAAGTCTCAAAGCACTTCACAGAATACAGATTAAAACTGAAGGCATGGCCAATGATGGAGGCATGGAAAGATCGGGGGAAGTCTGTGTTCCCTGAGCAAAGAAGCCGGACATGCTTTCAAATCACTATTTTAATAATGTAATCAATAATCTTTGCCTCATTCATTCAGTTTAAGCATTTAACATTTAAAGATTTGAAATTGTAGCTATTGGGTAAAAATTGGATTTGCCAACCTGTGGAATATTGGCTTAACTGGTAACTTTGGAATCGCATAATTTAAGGTGACACTCTAATGCAGTGCGGGGGATGGGTTTGTATTGTCGAGGTGCTGTCCTGAGACTTTAAACCGAGGCCCCATCAGGTGGACATTAAAGATCCCATGGCACCATTCAAAAAGAGAAGAAGGCCCAGAGTCCTGTTCAGCAATAACCCAAAATAAAAGTGGTCACTTATTTCACAGCTGTTTGTGAGACATTGCTGTGAGCAACTGCCTGCCCCATTTTGCTCACAAAATACTTGACAGTATGTCCTGCGAAGCACTTTGAGACAACTTGACGACATGAAAGGAGTGATATCAAATGCAACGATGATGATTATTATTATTATTATTGAAAGCACTATCCGGCAAGCTTTCCTGCCCCTTGCCCAGCTACGACCACCCTACTCTTTTGATCTTTGGCTTGCAGAGTTAACAGAAGCTGAGTGACTGGTCAGCTGAGCCAGGCTGGAACACTGACATCAAGTCCTGGACGAGGGTCAACTTTGTCCAACTCAACGTCAGCAAGACCGAGATCCTCCTGATTGGCTCACGCCAGCGCCTCCGCACCTCGGGCTCTGACGACATCAGCCTCCACGGCTGCTCACTCAACCTCACTAAGCCAGTCAGGAACCTGGGTGTGTTGTTTGACCCTGAACTGTCCTTTCTCCCCCGCGCCATGACCGGCATTGCCTACCACCACTCCTGCAACATTGCCAGACTCCGCCACTGCCTCACCCCTCAGGCTGCCGAAACCTGCATCTCATCAAGGCTCGACTACGGGAACTCCCTCCTCATCGGCCTTCCCAACTCTTTCCCTTCACAACCCGCAGATCATCCAAACTCTGCAGCCCGTGTACTCTGGTACACCAGGCTCCGCGACCCCATCACTGGCTCCCCATCCCCCAGAGGATCGAGTTTAAGATCCTCGTCCTCACTTTCAAAGCCACCCATGGCCCTGCCCCCTCCTACCGCTCTGACCTGCTGACTCCCTACCAACCTGCCCACTCCCTCCGTTCATCTGCTCCATGTCTCCCGCCCGACCACCGGTGGCCGGGCTTTCAGCCTCTCTGCCCCCACACTCTGGAGCTCCATCCCATGGTCCCTTCCCCTCACTTCCTCCCTGTGCCTCCTTCAAGGTCGGTCTCAAGACCCTTCTCTTCGATGGTGCCTTCGGTCTCCCCCCCCCCTCCTCCAGCGCTTTGTGACGTCCTCCCGACGTGACAGGACCTGTAAATGTGATGTTGTTGTTGTTGTTGTTGTGGCTCCGGCCCCCAGTCCTGAGGCCATTGTGACGTGCGATGGTACCATTGTCTCGGGGGAGGGGAGGGGAGGGGCACGTGACCCCGTCGCGCGCAGGCGCCGGAGTCGCGGTGCCCGGATGTTTGCGGGGCGGATTAACCCCGGAGATGCCGGATGAAGCCGGTGGCGGCGGCGGATCGCGGCACAAGCGGGTGGTTTGTCGGCGGTTTGGTGGCGGAAGCGGCGGCGCTGCTCACCTCCGGCAGCGGCAACTCGAGCGGCTGAGTGCGGAGGCGCCGCGGCGGAGGCCAGGCCTGAGCTGAGCCTCTGCTCCGGGGATGTCGGCTTCATCCGCCGAGATCATCGAGGCGCCGCAAGCGCTGGACTTCGAGGAGATCAACTACAATGAGATCGAGGTGGAGGAGGTGAGTCAGCGGCGGAGGGGCGGCCCCGGGGCAGAGGGACAGGGAGAGCCGGGCCTGCGGGGGGGGAAGCCCCGAGCCCCGAGCCCGGCCTCTGCCGCCTTGTGCCCCTAAAAAGGACAGTGACTTCCTCGTTCGGTTGAGTCACAATAACAATAATCTTCACCATCTTTGCATCGGATGTCGCGCCTCGTCGTGTCGCTGAGATATGGTCTCCGAGCGCTTCGCCTCATTTGCTGTCAGGTGTAGTGACTGCGGATTTTGCGGGGGGGGAATGCGGCAGCCGATGCGCGCACCTCAACCCCCGCCCGAAACAGCGGTGAAATGAGTGACCCGTTTTATTTGAAAGAGGGGGAAACACTGGCCAACAGCCTCTCATTGGAAAAGAGAAACTCCCTTCTCTTTGCAAATCAAATGGGGATCTTTAAGATTCTGCGGCCCAGACCGCGCTGTGTGTGGGTAACTGCCCCCTCCCCTGGAAACTCTTTTCAAATATTGCTCATGATACCTGGTTGTTATGAGCTGCTTCTGACTGCTCAGCAAAGTGTTGTGGGGAATGGGGGGGGAATGGGGGGGGGGGTACACCTCCCTTCACGGGTTTGATGGCCGAAACTACATTTCAGCAAAGACCCATCTTACGCCGGTCACCAGTCAGCAGAATCCTGGCAGTTCGGTCAGACGAGAGAGTTGGAACTGATCCTCGCATTTGTCGTCAAAGCCTCAAAGCGCTTCGCAGACGGTACCGTCGCGCGATGCAACTCTGTGTTTTGTGAGAGACGGCAATAATGTCATTATTGTTTGTTACCGTAGCGTAGTGGTTAGAGCGCTCGCCTCCCACACGGAAAATGAAGTCCCAGTGAAACATTACAACTCCAAAGTGAGCTATCTGTATTGTGCAAGACCCGGTTTAATTGGGGGAATTCATTTCCCTCAATCTGAAGTCATTTGGAAACTGGCTATTTAAAATTTTTGCCAATTTTACAATGCAGCAAGTCTAAACATAATACAGTGTGTTAACTCAGGGGCTACTCTTCTGTCCAAGTTTCTCAAGCCTGCCAAAGACAGTCCTGGGTGCATCTGTGTTTTAAAAGAGTTCTTGTTAAACTTGTCCTACTTATAGCACAACTTATATTTGTGACCTTATCACCAGGTTATCATCCTAGAAAAGTCAACATTACGTAAGAGGTTTCTTAAGCTTTCCCTCAGGCTTCATTGGGATATTTAATTATGCTTCTGAAGGTGTTCTTTATAAACCAATTCAATTAAAAGGTACAGCTACAGCCACATAATCAGCCTAAGTGCAAGACTAGTAAATAATGCCATTTAACACTTAGCTTACTTCAGTTGGCAAGGACAGATGAAACATGTGATGCTATGTTAACTGTTCGGTAGTTTGCCTTCAAGCAAATGCAGCCATAACCATAATAAATGCTATGTTCATTGCCAAAATGACTCTTGCTATCATAGCATGTTAACAACCATTTATTTAGAGAATTCTTTATACAGTGAACTCCTGATAAGACCCTAACTTATATCATCACATGGCATGTATCATCATGCTATCAATATCCCTTAAAACTTGAACGAGTTTTAACAAATAAACTGACAGTTGTGGGGTCGGTCACAGTGACAGCTGCTCACTCTGTGCATGTGCAGTGTATGTTGCTGTAGATCCTCCCGGCCACAGTGCTCACTCTCGTGGCTCCGGATATAGAGTCACTGATCTTTCTTCCATTGGAGTGAAGATATATCAGGAGTTTACTGTATTGTGGTCATCGAATGAACTCACCATGATATAAAGACCCATGTGCCTCCTTGATCAGATGGTGCTTTAAACAAAGTGCAGGATCAGATCAGCATCTGGTGTGCTCCTTGAAACCTTTGATCTAGATTAAACCAGTTATTCACAGTCTGCTCTCTAATAACATGCAATCTCTTATTAATGTCTTCATCTAGTGTTTTTTTCTTACTTGCTTTTATTAATATTGAACTAATGACCATCATGCACAATGTAAAGCTATGGTCCTTTTTACTGTTCTACGTTCTAGCTTTTATACTATTAATTACTTTGAAGCCTAGTTTTTTTTTATTTGTGAAGTTCTTGGTACAGTCATTTTCAACTGAGCTTAGTGGATATTCTACAAGCTTTACAGTCTTATACAACCTAAAATCCTGCATTGGCTGACCATTTGATCTCTGTATTTGCATTTGTCTGGAATTGTTTTCTTATTTCTAACAAAAAAAATCTGTTTTTGTTATCTGTCTTTGTGATTTCAATATTGCTTATGCACTAGAGTGTAGAGCATGGGGTCATTATCAGCTTTATATATTTTCCCGTTTTACCATCTGGAAGATTTGGCTGAGCTCAAGCACCAACTGGGCTTATGATCCCATACTGTGCAACGAAGTTGACACTCAAAATGTGCCACAGATTTTTGTACAGGACCAGTAAGATTTAGTGATACCACTGCAGGTCTTGTTGTGTTAGCTGATGTATCATTGTAGAGTCAACACCAACAAAATTACATTTATAGAGTGCCTTTCACATCAGGAGGACGTCCCAAAGCGCTGAACAGTCAGGTGTCGGGGACCAAGAATGGGGGAGGGATGGTGTAGGGGTGAGGGAAGGCAGTGAGGTGGAAGGGCAACCAAAGGCACGGTCGAAGAGAAGGGTCTTGAGACCGGCCTTGAAGGAGGCAAGGGAGGAAGCGACTGAGGGATGGAGTTCCAGAGTGTGGGGCAGAGAGGCTGAAAGCTGGCACCTATGGTAGAGCGGGTCAGGCAGGAGACATGGAGCAGGCCGGAGCCCGCTGAACGGAGGGAGTGGGCAGGCTGGTAGGGAGTCAGCAGGTCAGAGGGGCAGGAGGGGGCAAGACCATGGATGGCCTTAAAGGTGAGGACGAGGGTCTTGAACTCGATTATCTGGGGGATGGGGAGCCAGTGGAATCAGGCGAGGGTGGGGGTGATGGGGTCACGGAGCCTGGTGCATGAAAGTTCACGAGCTGCAGAGTTTTGGATGGTCTGCAGCTTGTGAAGGGAAGAGTTGGGAAGGCCGATGAGGAGGCAGTGTAATCGAGCCTTGAAGTAACGAATGCATGGGTGAGGGTTTCGGAAGCCTGAGGGGTGAGGCAGTGGCGGAGTCTGGCAATGTTGCGGAGGTGGTGGTAGGCAGTGCCGGTCATGGCGCGGATGTGGGGGAGAAAGGACAGTTCAGGGTCAAACAAGATACCCAGGTTCCTGACTGGCTTAGTGAGGTTGAGTGTGCAGCCGTGGAGGCTGATGCTGCCAGCGCCCGAGGTGCTGAGGCGCTGGTGCGAGCCAATCAGTAGAGCCTCGGTCTTGCTGACGTTGAGTTAGAGAAAGTTGTCCCTCATCCAGGACTTGATGTCGGACAGGCAGTTGGTCAGGACGCCAGTAGTCCTGGAGTTCAGGGTGGCAGCAGAGAGGTAGAGTTGGGTGTCATCCGCATACATGTGGAAATTTACCCCATGTCTGCGGATGATGTCACCGAGGGGGAGCACGTAGAGGATGAAGAGGAGGGGACTGAGGACAGAGCCCAGAGGAACACCGCACGAGACTGTGCAGGGGCTGGAGGAGAAGCCATTTGCCGCGACGAAGTGGAGGTGGTGTGAAAGATAGGACCTGAACCAGTCAAGGACAGAATGTTGAAGGTTGAGGTGGGAGGAGAGGCGGTGGAGAGGTGAGGAGGCAGAGGGAGCCCTGGTCACACATGGTCAGGCTGTCGTTTGTGACCTTGACCAGAGCAGTTATGGGCAGCATGGAAATCCGATTGGAGGGGTTCATGGAGGGAGTGGGGGGAGAGGAAAGAGTGAAGCTGGGAGGCAATGGCTCTCTCAAGAATCTTGAATAGGAAAGGGAGATTTGAGATGGGCCGGTAACTAGATAGGTGTGATGGGTCAAGGGAAGGTTTCTTCAAGGTGGGGGTGATAGTGGCTGTTTTGAAAGGGGAAGGAACAGTGCCAGATGACAGGGAGAGGTTAATGATGTTAGCGAGTCGTGGGGCAAGGAGATGGAGCTGGTATTTAAGGAGAGGGGTGGGGATGGGATCCAGGGAGCAGGTGGTGGGCTTCATGGAGGTAACAGTGGTGAAAACAGAGGAGGTGGTGACAGGTTCAAAGATCTGGAAGGACGGATGGGTAATTATCGGAGGGGTAGTTGTGTGGGGTGGGGGAAGGGAGGGGGTGGAAGTTGGGAGGGCAGTGGCAGCTGAGCGGATTCCCTCGACTTTGGACTCGAGGAAGTCCAGCATTTTCTCGCAGTAATGTCAGAGGAAAGAATCTGCGAGCCGTGTCAGGGAGGGCGGAGGAACCGGTTGGTGGTCGAGAACTGGAGTCTGGGGTTTTCCTTCACCTCCAGGATTAACCTGGAACAGAAGGATGATTTGGCCGAGGCGAGAGCAGAGCAGTAGATCTTGATGAGCTCCAGGCAGATGTGACGGTGGACCCTTATGCCGGTTTTGAGCCAAGTGCTTTAGGCAGACTGCACCTGGTCCTTAAGCGAGCAGAGGTGACTGGTGAACCAGGGTGAGGATTGGGAATAGGAGGCAGTTCGGGTGGTGAGGGGCGCAAGGGTGTTGAGTATGGTGGAGAGGGTGCTGTGGACAAGAGTAAGTGCATCGAGTGGGTTGGTGCGAGAGGTGGACCAGAGGGGGAGGAGTTCAGAGGACTCTAGGGCAGCGGAGAAGGATTGCGGGGAGATCTTCTTCCACGGACGGTAGAAGATGGTGGTAGGTTTGGAGGCAGTGAGGAGAGGGATATGGGAGTTGAGGGAGATGAAATGGTGATCAGAGATGGCCTTGTCATGTCCATAAAAGTCATACAACTTCGTGCTTAAGGTTTTACTCTCGGATCACCTTGATTTAAGCAGTCTTAAGTGGAGTGCTTTCACTTAAAAATATCTCTTTCAGAATGTTCTCACTTGCTATTTCTGATCTGGAGGAATCTGGTTGCCTGCCACTGTGGCAACATCATTGATGGAGAGCAGTTGTATCTCTCCTGCAGAAGATTTAAAAGGTGGAAGAATCTGCTGAATAAACCTGATTGATTTCCTTGGGTAAGTTTGAAAAAATAGTTGTTCTCTCAAAATGGTAGCCTACTTATTTTGTTGCATGGTTAGACAATCACATGTGGAGGAAAGGTATTAGTGTGCAAATTGGAATTTGGAGGAATAGCTTTTGGAGGAGCAAATGCCAACCCCAAAATTACTCTATAATTTTGCAGTTCTATAAAGTAAGGTTACTAGTCCTTGCCACTACTTTAGGAACGATGCTCAGCCCTTTTGAAAAGTGAAGGGGAGTGTCACTAGGATGATACCAGGATTCAGAAGTTTTAGTTATTAAGAGAGATGAGAGAAATTGGGGCTGTTTTTATTGAAGCAAAGGTTGAGAGGAAGGCAATAATAAAAATATAATAATCCTTGCATTTGATACAGTGTCTTATCGTGTCAGAAGGATGTCTCAAAGCACTTCACAGAAATTACTGTGAAATGGAGGGACTGTGTATTTGTGGCAAACGTGCCAGCATAATTTCACACAGTAATGTCTAACAAATAGCCATGAAACAACTGACCAATTTTATTTGGGGGATTGTTGGCCAGGACATTGGTAGAACCTCCCTTCTCTTTTTGAATAGTGCCATGGGATCCTTAGTGTCCAACTTTCAGCAGACAGGCCTCAGCTTACCATCTCATCCGAAGGACAGCACCTCTGATAACACATTCACAGCACTGCATTGGAGTATCAGCAAGACTATGTGAGTTCAAGTCCCAACTAGGAATGTTCCATTAACAGCCATGGAATGAATGACCAATTTTACCCAGGGGATTGTTGACCAGGAAAAACTCCCTTTTCATTTTGAGGTGTGCTATGGGGTCTTTAACATCCACCTAAAGAGGCTGACAGGACCTTGGGTTAACATTGGAATGTTGGCATTCGTTGCAAAAGGGTTAGAGTACAAGAGTAGAGAAGTCTTGCTGCAGTTGTATCAGGCCTTGGTGAGACCGCACCTAGAATATTGTGTGCAGTTTTGGTCTCCTTATTTAAGAAAGGACATACTTGCCTTAGACGGGGTGCAGCGTAGATTCACTAGGTGAGTTCCTGGGATGAGGGGGTTGACCTATGAGGATAGGTTGTGTAAACTAGGCCTATATTCTCTAGAATATAGAAGAATTAGAGGTGATGTTACAGAAACCTATAAGATTCTTAAGGGTCTTGAAAGGGTAGATGCCATGAGACTGTTTCCCCTGGTTGGAGAATCTAAAACTAGGGGTCATGGTCTCAAGATTAAGGATCAGCCTTTTCGAACTGAGTTGAGGAAACATTTTTTCACTCACTTGTGGAATTCTCTACCCCAGAAGGCTATGGATGCTCGAGATTCAAGATTGAGGTTGATAGATTTCTAAAGGGTAGAGGGATTAAGGGATATGGAGATAGGGCGGGAAAATGGACTTAGGTTAGAAGATCAGCCATGATCTTATTAAATAGCGGGACAGGCTCGAGGGTAGAGTGGCCTACTCCTGCTCCTACATCTTAATGGTCTTATGATCTAACATCTCATCTGAATGGCCGTAGCTTTGACAATACAACATTCCCCCAGTACTGTGTTGGAGTGTTAGCCATATGTGGCTTGAACCCACAACTTTCTGACTCAAAGATGAGAATGCTGCTAACTAAGCCAAGTAACATCCTACTTTTAAAAGGTTTGAAAAAGAAAACTATTAAGGAGTTTGAAGTAAAGCGTGGAAGTGGGACTGAATGGGTAGCACTTTCAGAGAACTGGCTTAGACACAATGGCCAAATGGCATCTTTCTGTGCTATAATTTTTTAACATTCTAATGGAGCTGTGCTTTTTTTAAGCTTCTGTGCAGCTTCAAGAAAATATAGTTTAGTTGGGTTGATTGAGGTGGTGGAGGGATGAATTGCAATAGGTTTTGAACAGATACTTTGAGGTCCTAAGTCACCATCTACTTTTTTGTCATAGCTCCTCTAATGCATATTTGTACTCTGTCTGCTTGCAGTAACTTTGTCACTAGGCTTAAAGTCTTAACAAGATAAACGATTGTGCTTTAGAAGTTGTGTGCAATACTGTCACCCAGCTTACTTCCTGCTACTCACTGGACAGGTCTAAGTGTGTGTGCATTCATCACCTCAAGGCTCGACTCCCTCTTTATCGGCCTCCCAAACTCTTCCTTCCACAAGCTGCAGATCATCCAGAACTCTACAGCTTGTGTCCTCTCCTGCACCAGGCTCCGTGACCCCATCACCCCCATTCTCGCTCGGCTCCACTGGCTCCCGATCCCTCAGAGGATAGAATTCAAAATCCTTGTCCTCATCTTCAATGCACTTCACGACCTTGCACCCTCTACATCTCTGACCTGCTGAACCCCTATCAACCTGTCTGCTCTCTCCGCTCTACAGGCTCCGGTCTTCTCCATGTCTCGCGCCCGACCTGCCCTACCATCAGCAGTCGTGCTTTCAGCCTCTCTGCCTCCACCCTTTGGAACTCGACGTGGAAAGTGCTTTACAAGTGTAATTTTTGTTGTTGTGGCTGCACTCTTTTCAACGCCTTCCCTATATAATATAGCAAGTTATTGTATCTGGCAGGGTGGGTTCTATGCTGTTAGCTGCTGTTTACCAGGTAAAATTCATTCACTTAATTGCTGTGTAGAAATTGGCTGCCAGGTTTTCCTACAAACTACACTTCACAGTAAAACTTCTGTAAAGAGTCAACAAGTTGAAGGGCTCTCAAATGCAAAGATTGTTGTCGTTATTATGTTTGATTGCTGAAGCTTCTGTTGACAGTGTACTTTTGACCAAATGCTTCATTCATTGTGGCCCATGCCAACCATCAATAATCTTATCTGAAATAGAAGTAGAAGTGAAATCGAAGAGAACTGTCTAGCGCGAATGGAAGTGCCATTACTTAAATAATTTAACTTTTTTTTAAATGAGTTTAGAATGTGGCTTTTATAGGATGGAAATTGACTTGGAGCTGTTTCCTGTTGACTTCAGTGTTTTAAAGTAGGAAAGTATACATCTTTGAAATGTATACACAGATTTTATTTTTGCAATGTCTTTGATATTCTATGTGATTGGTAACAAGATATCTGAGAGCTTTGTTTCGGGAGTAATCAACAACAAATTATAGCATGAGGTGATTTTATTCTATCTTGATGCTAGCTCCTCCACAAGAGCTATCTAGTGTTATCCATAGCCTTTAACCGTAACCTATTGCATTATTCCTCTTCAAATATTTATTCAATTCTTTTAAATGTTAGGGTCTTAGCTTCAATAGCTATTTGTGGCAAAGTATGCTTATACTGTTGTGGAAGGGTAGTTACTGTTACCTTTGCAACCAATTATCATTACATTCCAATGAACAGTTGAAATACCTGAAATGTCTTTATTGTAGCTGAAAAATATACAGGAATATAAATGCTTCTTGGCAGAAACAAATATTAAATATTGATCCTTTCTTCTTTATTTCAGGTCATTGCACATACAAGCAAATCATTTTTGATTCCAACATTTGGATGCATTCATTCATAGAACATGTACTTGCAACAGAAGAATTTTGGAAGATATAAATATTGATGCAACAATTACTACAAGTTTCACTGCATCTGCTGAGGAGTGCATTGGTTCAGTAACCATCACTTTGGTGTAATAGAAAACTGTGAGGAAGATGATTGTCCAATTGCTTCTTAGGATTTCTGCTTTGTAAACAACATATTTTTGCACCTGCACTTAGTCTGCACAAAAGTGCTGAATACGTGACACTTTGAATACATGACAGTCTTTTCTTCACGTTATACCATACTTATGGACAATTGGTGACTTCTGAAGTATGTCATCATGGCTAGAATTCGCAGAAAAATGTGCATCACTTTGTTTGTTTTTCTCTTGTTTGTTTTTGGTATCATGATGGGTTTAAAGACCTTACGACCAGAAGGAGCTGGATTTGGAGATGGAGTAGTCCTGGAGTTATTACCAGAACTTCATCACCGAGCGGCTGTGGATAAGCGTAAACCAGATCTCCCTAATATTTCAAAGTTTTCCAAAAGTGCAACTCCTCCTCAGGCTTCAAAACTGATTGCAGGCCAACGTGTGACTAAAAGTGCACCAATGTCTGCTTCAATACCTGAGAACTTTCGTCTCGTCAATTCTGATCTACATGCATTTTATTACATGTGGTATGGAAATCCAAAGTTTGATGGTAAATATTTACACTGGAACCACCCACTGGTTCCCCATTGGGATTCTAAAATAGCAGGCAGTTACCCCAAAGGAAGGCACAACCCTCCAGAGGATATTGGTGCTAATTTCTATCCTGAACTCGGAGCTTACAGTTCCAGGGATCCTGCAGTAATCAATGCACATATGAAACAGTTTCAAGCAGCTGCGATAGGTAACAGGATTATTACATTTGGCATTTATTTATTAAGTGTAATTTAAGTTTGATGCTAGAGTTCATCCTCCTCTGGTCCAAGGATACATCTTACTGTCTTGTTTTTCATAATTTACTTGTTAAGGAACTGCTAGCTAACCTTTATATTGCCAGTTGAGTGTATTTGTATACCTGGGCAGTAAAAGCTTTACTATGATGGGATTCTTCCAGAAAATGATTTGTTGAAAGTACATCATGATGAGTAATTTAAGCTTCAAGATAGGATGAAAATGGGATCTCTTTGGAAGCTAAGATACTTCGCCAACAGAATGTCACAATCGAGCCCACCCTCTGATAATCCAGCTGGCTCAGTTCCAGAACCGGACGGGTCCACAGTACTCCAAGGTACTGCTAATGACAAACCAGGCAGCCTGGTTCATTGGCAGGATTTAGAAGGGCAGACCAGTCCTGGAAGGTACGGATTCAAAGCTATTAAGGATAGGGTAATCCTAGCTGGACAAGCACAGGAAAGCTTGCCAGGCAGGGCTCTCAAAGGAAAGCTATCTTGTTTTAGCTGGTTCGACTCCAGCAGTACCCCAACACACACTCTGGATCCCCAAGCTTGGCTCTTGCCACATGCACCTAATACTTTCCTGGAATTTTTTTTGATAGTTTTCCACACCAGCTTGCTCCCCTTTCCCGCTTTTTGTCACTCCTGTTTCCACAGGTGTATAGTTTCTCAAGCATTACTAGCCCTCCAGTATCCTATCCAAGTAATTGTTATCCATTTATAAGTTTGTTGGCAGGGAGTGTTTGCAGATCTGAACATGTAGCTTGATGTAATCCACAATTCTCTCGCAAAATATAATTGCTGTTTCATGGTCTTTCTGTGTTTTTGCTAAATTAGGCTGGCAACTGAAACTTTATTTCATTCAGCCAGGTGTCTGACACATGACATGACCCATCACCATGCTTAAGATTATCCAACCTAGACTGAGTACCAAATTCCATTTTTGTAATACACTCTGTCCCGGAGGAACAACGCTTCTTACCTAATTCCAGAGAGGTCCGAGATGCTACCCTGTGTGAAGGATGCAAGTTGTTGTTGTTATCAATAATAATCCTTGCATTTAGTATAGAGTCTTATCACGTTGGAAGGACATCTCAAAGCCCTTCACAGGATTTATTGTGAAATGGAGTAACTGTATATTTGTTGAGAGTATTAGGCACAAGTTGGCAAGACCCAAGGCTTGGGAAGCCCAGAATATACGTTAGGGTACTGCTGGAGTCTTAACCGGCTAAGACCACGTAGCATGCCATTGAGGGCACTGTCTGGAAAGCTTCCCTCTACTTATCCAGCTAGGACCACCCTACATATTAGGGTTTGGGCTTGCAGGGATAATAGGAGCTAAGCAGTTAAGAACCACTGCCCCTAGTAACTGGTCTGCTCCTCCAAGGCCTGTCGATGAGCCAGGATGGCTGGTCTGTCATCAGCATGATCCATCTGGCTCAGCAACCAGACTACTGACACCACCAGAGAGCGTTGACACGATTCCAACTACCATTGCCATTCATCACCTTGGAGCTTTAAAATACAAGAATAGTTGAGTAACCTGGAGTGCTGTTTTTTTAATGGTATAATTCTGTCTAATATCAACTGTATGTTATTAATGTTTTGTCTTGTTCATGTCACCATGCAGGTGTGGTGGCTCTATCCTGGTACCCACCTGGAATGTCTGATGATAATGGTGAACCCATGGAAGATCTGGTGCCAGATGTACTAGAAGCTGCACATAAATATCACTTAAAGGTAATTATTTTAAAAAGTGCAGTCATCAAAGTGAAGGGAATCGATTCTAGCAATCAAAGATTGGTCGACTCTTTCATTTCTGTTGGCTTCTATCCATGTACTATTGAATACGGTTGGCATTGTCGGACACTATTTAATACAGTTTCAAAAATCGGAAAACCACCTTAGCCTCATGTAAACACTTTCTACTGCAGTAATAATGCTTACATTTAATATAGTACCTTCTGCGTTAGAAGAACATTTCAAAGCACTTCACGGGATTTACTGTAAAGTGTAGTGACTGTATTCTGTAGGTGAATGTGGCAACCAATTCTGTGAAACTTGTTTTCCCACGCCAGCCATCCTTGGCACTTGTTTGAGCGATACTGTTCGTAGGAATTGAAAATCCCCAGAACTATTCTGTTTGGCCCGGATTAGTCTGAGCAGGAAAGGAAACTCATCAACCTGAGCAAAATTGATATCGTCAAGCAGCTTCCTGCTTGTGGGACATTGCTTTGCGCAAGTTGGCTGTCAGTTTTGCCTAAAAAATAGACAGTCACAGCTCTTTATACTATATTCTGTGAAGCACTTTGAGACGTGCACCGAATCTGGAAGGTGCTGTATTAAATGAAAAGACTTTATTATTTAAGATTCAAACCCTGATGTTTCAAGTGAAAGGTCAGATTTCTGATCTCTTAATCATTAAAGATTAACTCCTTGAATGTCTATTTTAATGTGTGTTCCTAAAAGAGCTATTCTAAAATAATGGTAATCATAGTCCTTGCACGGATTTACCTTGTTAACCTTGCAAGATGAAGTGGATAGGGTTGTCCTATCTGGACAATCAAAGCAAAGAGATTGCTTCAGTCCCCCCACCCCGCTTAATCCCCATATCCCTACAAGCATCTGTCTTTCAAAATACTCCAAATACACCTGATACTCTTCAGAATTAGATAAGAAGAATTAAGTAAACAGGGAAGCAGAGTTTGTCCCTCTAGGAAGAGAATGTGCATTTCATTAGGCACACAGGAATTTCCATGTGTACTTGGGATTCATGGAAGCTGTTTGGTTTGGAGACTCTTAAGGATGGTTTGACTGTTTCAGATTGTACCTCTCCCACCGCCTGTACTTCATCTCCTCAAACGGCTTCTCCTCTAGCCCCCGGACCGTCTCGTTCCTCGGTGGTCTGTCCTTGGTCCCCTCCTCTTCAATATCTATATGTTCCCTCTTGGTGACATCATCCGCAAACATGGGGTCAACTTGCACATGTATGTGGGTGACACCCAACTCTACCTCTCTGCCCCCACCCTTGACTCCAGGACCACTGCTGTGCTGAGAGAATGTCTTGTCAGATATCAAGTCTGTGGAGTCCTGTAGCTCAGTGGTTAGAGCACTCGCTTTGCAAGCGAGAGACCTGAGTTCAATTCCAGGCAGAGGGCGAAACCTTGGGCAAGTTTCCTTACTCCACACAGAGCCTAATAATAATCCCTCCAAAAAAACAAAAACAATAATAAATTGGTCATTTTCAATCTACGACTGTTTGTGGGACATTGCTGTGCGCAATTGGCTGCCGCGTTCGCCCACAAATATACAGTCAATTCACTTTACAGTGTGTTCTGTGAAGCGCTTTGGGACGTCCTCCCGACGTGAAAAGCGCTATATCAAATGCAAGGATTATTATTATTATTATTAAGTCCTGGATGAGAGCTAACTTCCTTCAGGTTGAACGTCAACAAGTCCGAGTCTCTACTGATTGGCTCCCATCAGCACCTCCTCACCTCAGGCGCTGACAGCATCACCATCCATGGTTGCACACTCCGCCTTGCTAAGCCAGACCCCAACCTTGGGGTCTTGTTTGATCTTCAACTATCCTTTCTACCCCACAGCTGCTCTGCCTTCCCCCACCTCCGAAACGTCACCTGGCTCCGACACTGTCTCACTTCTCAGGCCATCAAAACCCTCATACTTTCATTACGTCGAGGCTCGACTATGCAAACTCACTGCTTGTCGGCCTCCCCAACTCCTCCCTCCACAGGCTGCAAATCATCCAGAACTCTGCAGCCCGTGTCCTCTCCCGCACTAGACCCTATCATCCCCATCCTTGCCCAACTCCACTGACTTCCCATCACACAGGGGATACAGTTCAAGATCCTGAGCCTCACCTTCAAAGCCCTCACTGGTCTTGCTCCCCCCTACCTCTCTGATCTCCTAGCCTCCTACCACCCTGTTCGCTCCCTCCGCTCAGCGGTCTCCAGCCTGCTTCACAGTCCCCACCTTGCTCGCCCCAATATTGGCGGCCGACCTTCTGCCACTCTGTACCCAATCTCTGGAACTCCATCCAGCTGTCCTTCCATCTCGTCCCCTCCCTTGCCACCTTCAAGACCCTCCTGTTCGACTGTACTTTCGATCTCCCTGCTTCCCCCCTGCCCTCCACCTCCCCCACCCTGACCCCCAACTCAGGTCCATAACTCTGACTGTCCAGCGCCTTGGGCCGTCCTCCCAAGATGAAAGGGGCTATACACATGTAATTTTGTTGTTGGTGGTAATGGCTTTTCAAGTGTCAGACAACCAGCTGACCTTTCACCTCAAAGTGCACAGGATCGATTATAAAGTGTAATGACTGTGTATTTAGTTGGTGAATATGGCAGGATATTTTCACACAGCAGTGCCCCACAAACAGCCAGGAAATGAATGTACAGTTTTATCTGGGTATTGTTGGCATGAATGTGGAAAGAGGTTCCCTTCCAATTTCCAAGAGTACCTGAGATCTTTAATGTCCATCTGAATTGGCAGACGAGATCTTGGTTTACCGACTTAGCTTTAAATGTTATCTCTGATAACGCAGCGCTTGTCTAGCACTGTTTTGGAGCGTCAGCCTAGACTGTTGAGTTCAAAGTCTCGATGTGGGGTTTGAACCCATGTAATTCTGACTCGGGTGAGAGTGTTACCAGTTGAGCCAGGCTCAAACAGCACGTAGAGCACAAGTAGCAGAGGGACAGAGAACGGGCACAGTGTGATACTACAGTAACAGTATATCTCCTGATGGAACACATTTTTAGTGAGCAATTTTGCCAATTTATATTTTGTGTGATTTGCACTGTTTGCTTTCTGCAAGGGGGCTGGTCCTGTTTAGTGTGAATAATTGGTTTGCCGCTATAGTTTCTAGGTCATCTGTGATGCGTAGGATGGAAGAGTGGATATTCTAGAAGGATGAAATTGGATGGGCTACAGAGCCTTCTTCATCCAAATCAGTCTTATGATACTTTCATTCTTTTGTGCAAGAACAATTTAATGTGAAGTTTTAAAAATGTATCAACCTGGTTCAGTAGATAGCACTCTTACATCTGAGTCAGAAAATTGTAAGTTCAAGCCACCGTGGGGATTTTGATTTCAGTTCATAGTCTAAGTTGATAGTCCTGGTTGATAGTTGATACGTTGTTGGGGGAACTTTGCATTGTTCTAAGGTGGTGTTCTTCAGATGAGATGCTCAAGCTGAGCTACTCCCTCTGAAAATATTCCTGCTCCTACCGCCCCACACTCTGCTACTCCCACTCTGTCCTTTTCTCCCACCGCCCTCCTCACCTTCTGGCTCCCTTGAAATCCAGGGCTGTTTCCAAATCCACCCGCTCCCCCGGTGCAACAGTCATCTCCGCTCACTTAAAACCCAAACCAGGATGCTCAAGCGCAGATGACAGAAATCCGGCCTTACGATTCACTGCCAGCTGTGGATCGAGCAATTCCACACCTACCGCCTCTCCCTTTCACAGGCCAAAACTGACCTTTACTCCAAAGTCATCCTGGAGGCCAGAAACAACCCAAAGACACTGTTTTCCACTGTCCATCACCTCCTCTGCGCACCCCCTGAAGCTCCCTCTATCCTCACATCAAACGTCAAATGCGAAGAGGTCCTCGACTTCTTTGGCTCAAAGATTGAAAACATCTGCTAGGCTGCATCGTCCTTCAACACCCCCCGCCCCCATGTCCACTTCCATCCCACCCAGACCATCCACACCGCCTTCTCCCATCAGCCACAGTTCATGCCACTCCCCCCTCCTTACACTCTTTGCCCCCATTTCTCCCTCCTCCCTCTCAACCACAATCATGCGCATGAAGTTCACCACCTGCTGCCTTGATCTCCTCCCCACCCAGTTGCTGGTCACTCAACTCCCCCTCCTCTCCCCTCTGCTGGCTGACACGGTCAACCAGTCTCTCTCCGCAGGCTCTGTTCCACTCTTGTCTGAAAACCGCTGTAATCGCACTTCTCCTTNAAAAAAACACCCTTATTTCCTCTAATCTCTCACACTACCGTCCCATTTACAACCTATCTTTCCTTGCTAAAGTCCTTACGTGCATTGTTGCAGGTCAACTTCGGTCACACCTCTCACTCCACTCCCTCCTCGACCCTCTCCAGTCTGGTTTTCACCCTGCCTACAGCACAGAGACAGCGCTTGTCAAAGTCACAAACAACGTCCTCTCTATCTGTGACCAAGGCTTTCTCTGCCTCCTCGTACTCCTGGATCTCTCTGCCATGTTTGACACAGTCAACCACACCATTCTCCTCCACCGCCTCTACTCCCTCATCCATCTTAGTGGGACCGTACTCGCATGGTTCAAGTCCTACTTAACCAACCACCTCCACTTCAACTCGGCAAATGATTTCTCCTCCCAACCCTGCCCAGTCACCTACGGGGTACTCCAGGGCTCCATCCTTGGGTCTCTTCTTTACCATATCTATATGCTCCCTCTTGGCAATGTCATCCACAGACACAGGGTAAACTTCCACAAGAATGCGGATGACACACAAATCTACTTTGCCTTCTCTAGCATCGACTCCAGGTCCTGCCAGCTTGTCTGGCAGACATCAGGGCCTGGATGTGTGCAAAATTCCTGCAGCTGAATGTGGACAAGACAGAAGCCATACTGCTTGGCTCCCATCAATGTCTTCACTCCTACAGATCTGAAATCCTCAACCTCCCTGGGCTCTTCCTCAGATTCACCGGACCAGTGCGCAATCTAGGCGT